ATTTTTTAAGCTGTAAATTTTATGTTTTGCTCAAAATTGCTTTGTAATTTTTTTTTAATTTTAATTATTACTTTGTAAAATTTCTGTAAATTTGTTTTAGCTAGTAAAGTTAACCACTACAAATTGTCAAATGAAGTGGCAATAATATTTTCCATATTCATTATTTAAGTATATATTTTCCATATTCATTATATGAGTATCATACTTGGTATCTATCCTGATTGCATTCATCCTTTTGCTGCTGGAAATTGTTTCTATGTAATCAAAGGCTCTATTCAATCTGTGTCTAATATATAACATTGCCGAACATGTATTTTGACAATGTTCTCATTTTTTAGTATTTCAGCATACATATTTTTATATAAGGATAACATCATCTGATACTATCGCATTACCTTGTCAACCTTGACAAGAAGCACTGAGCAATGTGCTATATCTTCGAAACCGGCAGCACAGAATTTACAGAAATGTATTTATCTGGCAACTCATTAATGATTGCATGCACAATATGCCAGCACATGTTGCCATCATCTGTGTCAATGGTGGTGTAATGCACGCAGTTTTGAAATTCGAAGGGCGTGTTTGTGGTTTCTCTTTGCTATGCGATGTTTGTAGTGCTCCTTGTAGTGAATTGTTATGCCACTGTGAAGTTTGCCTGCTAATGATAAAGAAAACGTTGTATTTTTTTTTTTTTTTTTTTCAGAAATATGGTGTTTTGCCTAGTAGTAGAGAGTATAGGAATGCACATTCTATGTAGTTTATTTGTGCTCTTATTTTTTTAAGTTAAACAGGTCAATGTGTACGTGGAAAGCATTGCCAATGAGCTTTGTAATGTAGATAATTTTCCAACTGTCTAATGCTAAATTAAAGCAGATTGCTGTGCACATGCACAGAAGACAGCAAGAAAAGAAAGCTAAATTTTTATGATGAATGTTTGATGTGTTTTGAATTTAGTTAATTTATTGCTGTTTTCTTGAAATTTTGAGTTTTTCTTTATGGATGTGTGTTATATGCAATTTTTAGTGTTTCATTATTTATGGATCTTTCTTGTGTTTTTATTTCTGTTAATTCTTTGATCTTTTATGCAATTTTCGGTGCACCAAAATTTTCTAAAATGGCAACTGTTTTTCGCATGTCAGCATGTCAGGCTGCCAAAAAATTAGTCACTTACAATTGGCAACTTCGCAGAAAGTTTGGGCAGATAGTGCGAGAGTACCCATTATCTTCATCTTCTCTGGTACTGATGGATTTAGAATTGCTTATTATGCTCATCAATAACAATACTCAGAAACTTCAACTTTGGGGTTGGATTATATAATGAACCAGATTTCTAGTTAAGATCTCTTCTGGTAGATTCAGAAAAAAAAAAAAAAAAAAAAAAAAAAAAAAACTAGCAGATGTTGAATATTCTTTCACTCATGTTTAGGTTTTTGAGATGGATCTGACTGAGGCCAAAAAAGTCTTTGGATGAGTAATTTTGATTCTCTAAAATTAGACTGTGTTTTGGACCTTCTGCTTCTTATCAGATTCTAAATTCATTTTAAAATCTAAATCCATCATAAAATTTTAGTCATCAGAAAACACCAATGTGATTTTAATTTCCTTTTTCTTATATTTTTAATAGTGGATGGATTAATAGTTTTAATAGTGGAGTTTAGTCATCAGAAAACACCAATGTGATTTTAATTTCCTTTTTCTTATATTTTTAATAGTGGAATTTAAAAAAAAAAGTTAAAAATTATTATAGCAAGGAATTTAATTGACTGGGATATAACAAATTAACCCTTTGCGACACGCATATTTAAAATATATTTTAATCTTTAAAAAAATGCCTTAGAATAAGTCAGATGGACTTACTTAAGTGCCTTTAAGGCTTGAAAAAAATTCTGCGCTTTTATTTTTTAACAGGGCAAGGTGGATACCGGTTGTCCCACCATGCAACTAGCAATGTTATAGCATATTGGTGTATAGCAGGAAAAAAAATCATATATGGAATGAATAAACAAAATAAGTGGCATTCTAAAATATTCATAATAAACACCTAAAATGCATTTTGTACTTATTGGATATCGCATGACTTGTAAAATTTTAAAATGCATAAAAACTTGTATGCACATTTTGCATACATATCTTTAATATTTTAAATTTTAGGAACAAAAGAAAATATTTTCTTGAATATTATTTTAAGATTAAAATTTGATACTTGTACATATGATACTAAATAAAATATTAAAATTGGCACTTGATTCAAAAACATTTATATATGATTAAAATTGAAAAAAAAGTCATTTTTCATGAAACTTTGAAAAACATGTCGTTTCATTCTTGTAAGCATGGAGGCACTTCACATGTTTCACACATCCAAAATGTTCGTCGTTCTTCTTTCGATGTGCTGCAATATGCACATCTTCTCCTGCTCGTTCTCTTTGGCATGTGAATTACCTTTTTTAGCTGGTTGTACGAACGGGTTTTTAGCTTTTATTTGAACTGGGGATTTCAGTTTTCTTTTCAGCTCTTTCTTGCCTGCAAGTGCCATTAGACCTTCTAGAAATGAGAGAAGAAAATCTTTCATTGTTTTTACATTATGATCGGGTTCGCGAACAAACTTTACTATACTCGCATCTAAAAAGTTGAAAAAAAAAAAAAATCATGTGCCACCATTTCTTGCTTTTGCGGTCTATTTCATATAGTACTTTCAGTTGATCAATCAGTCGACATATCCCATATTCTTATGTATGAAATAATGCTGTTGGGCACAGTACTTTTTTTGTCTTTCCATCTCATTTTTTCTATTAATTTTTCATTTCAATTACCTTTTCCAAGCAGACAGGGATAAACAGATCTTTTATCTTCCATTTTTATGCAATAGTTAATCATCGCTAACTGAAAAGTCTATATCTTCTCTTGACATACATTTGTCTTTTAAATTTTTGAGTAGATACTTCCGATTCATTTTAGAGTGCCACATAGATGGCAGCCACATGCATAGATGGGTCTGTGTCTTTAAAAAGCGAAACAATTATAACTACTTCCCTTCTTCTTCAGCAATAAATTCAACCTCAGTATTCTCTCCTGGATTTCAATTTCATCTGAATCAGAACTTACATCTGAACATATGAGTCGCAATCAGATGGCAGTTCAGCAAAAGATCCAAAGCTTCCTGAGTTGTTAATTTTTTCCTAGATATTTTAGCACATCAGAGCATACAACGGATGTAAAAACGCGCCGCAATCACGAAAAAAAGTCGAGAAAAAGGAGGCAAAGAAAAATAATCGTGGAGTGCTGCCATCTATTGACGCGAAAATTCAAGTGCATGTGGGACAAAATTTTTTTAACCCACTTATTTCAATGCAAATTAATGTTATAAAATATTGAATCCAATTAGATTTTTGAAAATAAAATACCTTTGAATATTAAAAAGAATCATACATATCATAAATTGTATACCAAAATTTTAAAATATTGAAAAATGCGAGATCATGGATATCACTCTTGTGATCCTATTTTGAATATTTTTGCTTATAAACTTAAGCCCTGGTATAGTAGTAACATCTACTGAGAAAAATAATAACTAAAATAGATTATTTTTAAAAGATTAGAAAATATCTAACGGAAACTGCTAACTGAGAAAATAAATATTAATTAGGTGGGACATATATTGACCTACCATGCCGCAAAGGGTTAACAGTTTTAGCTATCCACATTTATGGCCATGTGTAACAGATGCTCTATCTTTTTGTTACTTGACACATGTCCAGCCTGTAGTTGTTCTCAGTTCATACATACTGACGTAGAGCTGAGAGGGTTAACGTGGATTTTAAGTTAATCAGGATCAGATCACAGTCATGTCACAAAATGTAACATATTGTTACGAAATGTACAGGCGCGATAAGATAGCTTCCTCGCAAAGCAGTTTTAGGGTTGTCATAAATGGAAACGGAAGGCAATGTTGCCACATTTGGGGATAAATCGCCCATTTGGTGACAAAATTGGCAATATACCATAGACAGATAGAGAACCTTCTGGAACGAATTCTTACCAGTTTAGCCCTGAATGTTCCCGAACACAAGCCGAAAGTTATATAAACCTTGCTGGTCTGCAGTTAGTTAATGTGTCTCAGAGGGTGTGCCTCATCGAGAGGGAGAGTCAGACTGCTTCGTCTGAAGTGTGAGTTAGTTAGTATCGAGTTGGTGTCTCATCTAGCGAGTCAATCCCTGCGGAGTCGATCAAGTTCACAGCTGGGCGGTGAGTGACGAATGGGTCGTCGAGTGCACCGAAGGAGTCTGTTAGTGTATCGTGGTTGGTGCATCGTCGAGAGAGCGTGTTGAGTTCCGGGAGCGACTGAACCGAAGAGTAGGGAGCTGTGCTCGTGTGTTGTCGAGTGCATCGCGAGTTGTAGCGTGGAGAGTCTCGAAAGTACGTATAGTTCCGAGAACGACCAAGCAGAGTCGGCAGCTGTACTCCGGAAAGCTGAGTCGGGTGCTTTGCAGGAAGCGGTCTCCATCGTTATTGCCTGACAGTGTGAAGGCTGTGTCGCTGATTGTTCCAGCATGTTTATAGTAGATCTTCGATGACTGTAAAAAGTGACTTTGGAGCTGTCCTGATCAGTATTGGCTAAATAAAGTGTGTTTCGATACTTATCAAGTGTCGTCATTATTCACTCCAAATCTACGAACCCCGTACGAACCCCGTACGAACATGAAGGAAGAAAATAACATAGCAATATTCTGTCCATCCCCAAAATATTTAGAATGAGGTCCAATGATCAGATGAGGAAGACATTATCATATGCTTCTTTTGATTACAGATTGTATTATGTTCCCTGATCGCATGATCTCACATTGAATATCCAAAGTGAGTAACAAAGAACTTGGTTAAAAGATCAGTTAGGTGTATTGTAGTTAAATGTGAGAATTGCATTTTTAGCTATAACTAGTATTTATGCAAATGTAATTATCTTCTTTCCAAATGTGTTGTAAAATGTAACTTTTTGAATATAGATATTTGTGAAAATCGATTAGACATGGCAAAGAAACTTGGTGCTCCTCATCAGATTTGTGTAAAAGGTAAGGATGTTTTGCAAGAGGTAATGACAAAGCTGGGAGGTCCACCCGACATTACAATTGAATGTAGTGGTGCAGAGTCTAGCATTCGACTTGGTATAAAGGTAAAAAATATTTTAATCTATATTTCTGTTCATTCACTGAGCCCTTTTTTAATAAATTACTATCAGTGCTTTATGTATTTAAACCTCATGCTTAAATGAAATAATTTAATTCCTCTTTTTATGGATTAGGTTTTGTATTTTACTCTATAAATAGCATAAATTATCTTAAAAGCTGATGTTGAGGGTAGGACCCAGTTTTCTCTCTTTTTTAAGAAAATATTTCTGAATCACTAAAGCTAGGAACTACTTAATGTGGTCCAGTTTTCTAGATCAATCAATCAGTCAAACTTTGATGCAAGATGGAGTTGGGTAGTATATTTCTTCCTGGATGTTGGTGAATGGGATTCTAGAAATTGGAACTTTTGCTTTGTTGTAAAAAACTTTGTAAAGAACTTTGTTGTAAAAAAGTTCAATGCAAAGATAATTTTCATTTTCATAAAATAGTGAAATAGTCATAGAAAAAAAAAAAAAAAAAAAAAAAATCATAGTCATTTGGCTTACATAAGTCCACTTCAGCTTTCTTGTTTAATGTAATTATGTGCTATATCTGTTGCACACTTGTTAAATTAAATGAAGAAAGCCTTGTTAAAATTAAGTGAATCAAAAGTAGAAATAAAAATATTAGCTTATTAATGCAATTAAGCTATAATTCAGTCTTTCACGTATTTACACTTTAAATTTTAGACAGATGGCTCTTGTTGGCTTTCCCATACAAGTAACCTAATCACACATTACATTGTATACAAACCAGTTTAATTTTTAATAGAGAAGGTGTATGAATATTTCTCATTCCTGGCAAATATCATGTATTGTTTGACCTATAACTATACTACTCAGCTCCCTTTTCTAGACTGTGAATAGTCTTAGCAAGCACATTTCCTTTTTTAGATTAAAAACCTGTTTATTTTATTTTTCAAATATTTAGCATAAAACTCCCATTTGTCATAAGATTTTTTAATCATAGAAATTTTTTAAATTGCAAAAATATGAAATTTACATGCGATTTATTATATTTAGTTTTTATATTTATTAATGTTTTATCACATTATATGAATAAATGTTTGCCTTATTTATTTATTATGGCTAATAGAAAAGGAGTTTGAGTAAAATATTTGAAATAAAATACAGTTCAGCTTTTCCAGACTTTGCTTTGATTCTGCTGTAAAACTATCGGTTAGTTGTACAAGTTCTTTTTGTTTTTTCTCTTTTCTTTCCCTCAGTACATGTTTTGATAATAATATTGAATAGAGTAGCTAAATATTGTGAAGTAAATATGAAGTAATATGGGTAGTAAATATGGTGAAGTAAATATGGTGACCTGCCTTTTTTAGAAGATGAGGTTTATAAGTAGAATACCTAGTGAAGCATAAAATGTAAGCAAGAAGTTTTTATCATTATAATTACAAATAATAAATCCTAAAAATTAGATTGCATAAACTATGCATTCATACTTTTCAAAAAAAACTGGAAGTTTTGGACCAACTTATTAAAATTCATAAAATGGAAGTTTGATCTACTTTTCACGACATGTAGTATATTTATCAAAGAAACTATATTTCTATAAAGAGACTATAAATTTAAACTATAAATTTAAGAGGCTTTTGTAGTACTGGCTGGCTGTATATATATATATATTTTTAAATCTACAATGCAAGTATGAGCCAGTTCTCTTTCCAAATACTGCTTGGAGGACCCCTTTAGTTCAAGCAAATAATTGTCCAGTGTTTTTCATAAATTGAACAATTTGCTTCCCATATAATACCAGAAAGGTGTTTTTATTTTCAGCGTATTGTAGTTAGGGATAGTTTTCAGATGCTTCTATAGAAAAAGTAAAATTGATGTCACCTTATAAAATTCTAAATGTAAAAGTTCAGAAACATAACTAATCAAGATATGAATGAACTGAATAGTTATTTTTTTATTTTTTATACTTTTGATTGTGTAGCTTCTTTTTCTCCTTATCAATATTTTTGTTTACTATTTTGAAAAAGGCTTATATAAGTAATTAATTGATCTAGTGATCTAAAATAGGATTCATTTCTTTTATTAGTTCTGAACACTTTAAATTCAGATTTTAAGCAATTAATGTTAACTGCAAAATTAAGAAAGAAAAAAGCTAAAGTAAAATAAAAGGAGCTTTGACAAATATCAAAAATTTTCTTTTCCTCTTTTTAGTCCAAAGGGGCTTTGACCCTAAAGGATTATTGTTTTCGTTTTGCAATTTTGCGTTTGTTCACTATAAATGTCTGTTTCACTTTTCAAACTGTTGCCACCAAATGTTAGAATCCTGCATTATATTTGGAGAAATTAAATAATGAAAAATCTGCATAAATAAATGCATGTATATTTCTCGCATTGTGATAAAACAACAGTACATAGAGCCATCAGATTTTGAATGATGTAATCCTCCTATGAATATGGGCATGGGGAAGCCCAAATTTGAAATTTGTTTTGGTATCGATTTCATATCTTGTAAAACTTTAACGGATTTTTGATTAACAAACTCAAGGATTTCAAAGAGAGCAATGGCAACATTGTACAGAAAAAACATTTTTATCTCCAGCTCTGTATCGGAAATTGTAAAGATATGCTCATTTTAAAACTATTTTGCATATTGCTGTTGAACTGAATTTTATGGTTTAAGTACAAAGAACATGATATTTAATAAATAAATGTAACACACAAATTGTTAAATAAGAAAACGCCCCTTTGGACGTAATTTAAAATCTGAAACCTTTGAGATTTTTTTCTTCTTTGTATATGTATCTAATTTATCATTTAATACAAAAGTTTTTGAACTGCTTTATATTATTCCATAATTGTAATAATATAATTTATTTTAATTAGAAGACCTTTAAATTGGAGGAAAGATCATACAGTTATAGTAAAATATATTGAGTTTTACTTTTGAGTATTTTTGCATATTACTGAAAAAACTGTAAAATCTCATAACTTTCATAACACATAATTTTCCTTTTATTAACTCTGTACAGGTAAGCAGTATAATTAACACAGAAAAAAATCCTTGTTATGAATCTATTGGGTTGTTCGGAAAGTAATTTCATTTTTTCTCGTCAGAGGACTTAATTACATTTTTTCGAAACCAACTTCACACTTAAGCCGCATAACCTTTATATGTCTTGAGAGCTGATATTACAAGGCTTGTGTGTGAAAAAGTTCTATTAATTCTACACAGTAGTTTTTGGTTGGTGCCCTCTTAAATATGGAGAGCAATAAGCAGCATTTTCATCATATTTTACTTTTTTACTTCAGAAAAGGTAAAAATGCTGTCCAAGCGAGAAAAAAATTGATGGATGTGTATGGAGAAGGCGTATTAACAGTACGCCAGTGCCAGAACTGGTTTGCAAAGTTTCGATCCGGCAATTTTGATGTCGAAGATGCACCACGGTCTGGAAGGCCAGTCGAAACTGACAAAGATGCGATAAAGGCATTAGTTGATGCAAATCGGCGAATAACCACACGAGAGATCGGTGAGAGGTTAAATTTGTTGAATTCGACTGTTTATGGCCACTTGAAAGGCCTGGGCTTAACCTCGAAGCTCGATGTGTGGGTGCCCCATGTTCTTGCGGAGCGAAATTTGTGTCGTCGCGTTGACATGTGTGATTCGCTCCTCAAACGTCAGGAAAATGATCCATTTTTTAAGCGGATTATTACTGGGGACGAAAAATGGGTCATATACAACAATGTGAAACGCAAGAGGTCATGGAGCAGAAAAGATGAACCGGCTCAAAGCGTTTCAAAAGCCAGCATTCACCAAAAAAAAGTGATGCTGTCCATTTGGTGGGATTTCAAAAGAATCGTTTTTTTTAGCTTTTACCGGACAATTTGGAAGTCTATTGTCATCAGCTGGACAAATTGAATGATGCACTTAAACACAAGAGGCCGGAATTAACCAACAGGAAGGGTGTAGTGTTCCACCAGGATAATGCGAGACCTCATACAAGTTTGGTCACTCGCGAAAAGCTTTTACAGCTTGAATGGGACATACTGCAACACCCACCATATTCTCCAGATCTGGCGCCTTCCAATTATTATTTGTTCCGGTCCCTGCAAAATTTTTTGGATGGTAAAACCTTTCCCTCAAATGAAGATGTCAAAAACCACCTGAATCAGTTTTTTGCCAGCAAGGACCAAAACTTTTATGAGCGGGGAATCATGTTACTGCCAGAAAGATGGCAAAAGGTGTTGGACCAGAATGGCCAATATATAATTTAATGAAATATTTATTCATTATATGAAAATTGTCTTTCATGTTCCCCCCAAAAAAACGAAATTACTTTCTGAACAACCCAATATTTTAAGCATTACCAGAACAATGTTTCAGAATGTTCTGTTAGAAGGAAGTTTAGAAAAGATTTGATTTTCTGATCAATTCTTTTCTTCAATTTTCTGATCATTTTCAGCTTTGGAAGGTTTACGTTTCCTTCTTGCTTTTTTAGCAAAAAATTATTAACTCATCTTCATGCAGTTAGTCATCTTCCCTTTTCTAAATTTCTAAACTATATTTTTCATGAAAAACTGCCTCTGTAACATTATAAAAGAGATTAATTAATGACTTTTAATAGTTAAGTACATAAATTTAAAATTGTATGTATCTGTTATACATAGTATTAATTTTCTACTCATTTTCAACTTTTGGGTGCTTAAATTTCCTTATTATTAATCCAAAGATATGAAATATAGAAATAGAAAATATTCCTAAATCCTACTTTTGCTCATAAATCATTATATGAATATACACTTACAACTTTTAAAGCCTGAAAATCATATGTCTGAGATGATTTGTGGGTGCTTTATTTTTTACAGCAATGCTTTTGAATTCCATTATTTTCAATGATAATATTTCAGAACTGTGATGTTTTCTTTTAGCTTTCTTTTCTTCCACAACGTTTCCACCTTAAGTTGTTTTCTCTGCGACATTCTCATTTACGATATTTTCGTCGGACAATATTTTTAATATAACACCTATACAGTATAGAGAGCAAAAGAGTATTATAAATGAAAAAGAAATAAAACTGAAATTAAGTAGCACTGCAGATTGCAATTCTGCACATTAATATTAACAAAACTTTAACTAGTTAAAACTGGAGAAAAAGTTAAATAGACATTTTTATGAACGTATGGAGCATCAAGAAAAGTAAAAAATTAAAAAATATATGTATAAAAGCAATTTAAAGCAAAAGGTCCTTTAAAAGCTGTTGGAATTGTTGAGAGTATGTACTCAACAACCGGTCCGTAGATGGATGTATTTAAAAAATAAAACATAGGCATTTGGTTAAATCTTAACATTGATAAAATCAGATTTTATGTGGCTAGAGTTTTAATACAAAGCTTCATGCAGCCGACTTTGAATTCTATATTATGAAATGGACTTGTTAAAAGAATTCTCAAAATGAAATTGTAAAAGAATTCTGTGTATGCTACAATACTTCTTTAATGGCCAGAAGCAAAACTGATAAATATCCTCCAGAGGGTGTTTTTAAGGCTGATAAAATAAATCTTTTTTTTTTTTTTTTTAAACAGTTATCCAATTTGCCATTTCAAAATTTAAACAGCATCAGAAAACTTTAAAAACTGAGGGTCGGAATTTTTAGCTGTGACTGTTTTGGGTATAATTAAAATTAGTCTTCCTGTAATAGAAAATCTCAGAAAGCATGCTGTTTTTTAAAAGCACAAAATTATTTTATTCGATTAAGTAAATCAGAAACCATCACTAAAATATATCTTTCAAGAATGTCTGAAAAGTTTGGAGAGTCATAACATTAAAGAAAGAAATATTGTATAACTTTTTGTTGAATTACACTGCACGTCCTCAAGGTATTAGGAAAATTTCATATAAAAATTTGACTTTCTTCCTTCTAATGTCACTTCATTTTTGCAAATTGTTGTTCAAAGGCTGCAGAATTTATCAATGAAAAATTTGATGAATTTCTCGCTATCAATGGCTCATTCACAGGCCAAAGAATGTGCAGTATAAACATCCCCCACCGAAAAGCTAGTAAAATGGGAAAATTTCATCTATGAAGATTATTACAACTGATGAAAATATTCATTGTGTAGAGGATTATTTAGCTGATTTCAGAGGAATAAAAATAATTTAATTTGAAGTTTACTAGTCTAAAAATTGATGTTAATGATTCTTCCAGTCAAGTTATGCAGGAAAAATACATAGCATATTTAATCATTATAAAATGGCTTGTGCCAATGAAGTTTCAAGTCTGAAATCAAATATTTTACTTTAACTAATAGTTTATAAAATTAGGTAAACAAGTTAGAACATCTAAAACAAGCTAGGACCAACAAGTTAATAATAAACAAAATTGGGCCTATGCATATCATAAAATAAAGCTTTGTTCTTATTTTTTTATAAACTTGTTGATGTTAAGGAAATTTTTAAATAAGAATTTATAGTTAAAATATTTTAATTATGTGATAATGAATTTATTTATACTGCATCCAAGTGTATAAGTTGCAAGATAATTTAATTTCTGATTTCTTAGATATTTAAGTTTTAATGAAATAAAATACTGAAAAATCCTTCTTCTCTTCCTCTAATTTTCTTGCAACATTTCAAACAATGGCCATTCTGATATATTGCCTTTTTCATTTGGTATCGTAGAAAGTCTTATAACAGGAGATAAAATATCTAATTGATTCTTCATCACTTAATCAGTAATTTATGGTAATTGGTTATGTGGATATTTAAATAGGATTTTGTTCATTTTATTATTTTGTACAGGTTACAAAACGTGGTGGTGTTTTAATGCTGGTAGGTGTTTGTGCTCCTGATACCAAAATACCTATTATTGATGCTTCTATTCGGGAAGTTGACATTAAAGGCATTTTACGTTATGCAAACTGTTATCCCACTGCATTGGAATTGGTTGCTAGTGGGGTTGTGGATGTTAAACCATTGATCACTCATCACTTTAAGCTGGAGGAAGTGAAGAAGGCATTTGAAACTTCTTATTCTGGTGCTGATGGTGCCATCAAAGTAATGATCCATTGCTCTATGTAACCAAATAGAAAGCTGGTTTTGGCTTTCTTAAAAAATACAAAAATTATTAAAATTTATAAATTTATTTTTATGTAACTTTATTGACAAAGGAATTCTTATTGATGTACATCTTGTTGAATCTTATATTTTTATGTACTTTTATTCTGAAAAATATGTTGATTTAAAATACAAGTTAGTAAAATACAGTGGTTATTAAGTATTCAAAATTATTTTTAATATTCTGCTGAGAAAAATATATTTTATATTTATCTGTTGATGTAATAAAGTATAGATCAACTATGATTTTATGCAAATGTGCACTCACATTTTAATTAAAAGCATAACTAAAAATTATGCAGTTTTTCTGTTTGAAGGATTGATTATTTCAGGAGATCTAGCATTCATAATTTACTGATTATAGTATATCAGTTAGATATGCTACTATTTTAATTATCTTAGAGTGATACTATGCTAAGTCAGTTCTGATTAAATTTCTTTTTTATTAATAATTTGATTTATTTTTTATTATTCTTTAAGTTTGTAATATGAATCAAGTTTTCTTTTACTAACTCATTTTTCAGATTCCACGTTAATTTCTCACTACCTGTAGTGAAGGGTTTTAGAAAACTTTAAGCAAAGATTAATTAGCTTGTCTAAAAAAACTTGAGATTTTATTTTCAGTATTTAAAAGAAATCAGTTATGAAATGTTTTAATCTTTGTCAAAACTGGTAATACAGAAATCTTAATTTTTAAATACACAAATAATATAAAAATTCATAAAATTGTATTTTTCTCTTTGTTTAATTATGATTTACATTGAGAAAATATATTGAAAACAATGATTATTAGTAATTATCATCAATTAATGATTAATTATCAGAAAAGCTTGAATGAATCTTTTTCATTTATATTATACAATGATGTGTTAATGGTTTCTTATGGTGGAATTATGTTCCTTTTAATAATACTAACTGTTTAAATTTGTTTTTTAATGATATAAACAAAGTAATGTACAATGCTATTTCACTGAAAATATGAATCAAAATTTTATTCATCATTTGAAAGACACTGGAGTGCTGAAGTCACCGTCAAACAACAGTAAACAACAACCAAATATGGTTACAGTAGGTTACTAAGTGTTGAGACAAGGGAAAAGACAGAGGAAATTCAAAGAGCAATTAAATATCTCTCTTTCAAAAGGGAGAGCAATTTTTCATTTATATTAAATTACTATATAACAATAAATACAATATTCATTAGGACAAATGAAGAGACAACAGCTGCCTTTGGATACAAAAGGTGAGAAGCAGTGATTGCAGAAGAACATTTTTTCAATTCTTTCAAATTTGCACATTTTTTCAATTCTGGGTTTGAATACATAGCACACATAATAAAATGCTTTAAAACTTTTAATTTGAAAAGTAGTGAAGAAAAGGTTTTTTAATAAATACTGTCTTAACTGTTGCTCAGTTACTTTTAAATGTTCTGTATTTGCCATGAAAACATTATTATTCTCCTTAAAACTGCTTATAATTTAATGCTGCTTGTTTAATTAGCAATCCTGAAGTAAAACTCGATAGGAGAAAAATCACTATAGTTAAAATATTTCTTTTATTATTAATTATTCTTTTTAAATTAAGCGTAAATTGATTAATTAAGTTTCTCGCATCTTTTTGTTCTTCCTTCTATTTTTATATTATGTAGTTACTCATGCTTCTCTTATCTTTTTTTTTTATGATAAAATAATCATGTTTGTATTATTTAATGCTGAAGACATATTATTTAATGCTGAACCCTTGTATTTTTAACAAAACAGCTGAGAAGCATATTAATAAAAAATTATTTAATGAATGATTGGAAACTATAACGAATATCTTTTTGTAACGTAATATTTTTATTGAAACACACACACACACACACATATATAATATGTTTAATGTATTCACAATGCTTAACACATTGTAGTTATGACTCAAGCTCTAGTATATTAATTGTAACTAAGGATAACTGGCTTCTAGGAGAACATAAAAAAAGAAAAAGAAGAGTTCAGAGATAACTTACAGAACCGAAAATTTAATCATATAGTGAAGTTCAAATAATAAACAATGGAATAAGTTTATTTTTTATTACATTTTTTTTATAACAACCTTTCACATGAAGAGCAGTTTCTCTCTGCAAGCTAGATGAAAATGTTCATATTTTCAGTATTTTTTGCTTAAGTATAAATTTGAAATAGCTTTGTCAGATTCTTTTTTTTTATGTTATTATTGCCTACACAATTGTTTTATAAGTATGTATTTGTAGTAATGATAAAAAGTAACATTTACCCTGCCCAAAAAAAATTCCTTTTTTTTTTGTTACTATAATGCATCGTAATTAAGATTTAAAATAATACTACATGATTAAATCAAATTTTCTTTTGAGACTCAGATCCTAAAGATTGCATCAAAACATTTTTCAAGCAGTTTTTAAGTTCTCTGCAATCACATGTGGCACAAAGGTTTTAAGGGCCGAAAATCACAATATATGCATTAAGGGAAAGTATGAAGCTGATCACCACACCAATGTGATTGTCCATATTAGGTCAATGCAATTGGGAATCTTCACAGTTTACTCTGTAATAGAGTATATTTTGCTTGTCAGGTTTAGAAGAGATCACACCAAAACTGTATTAGTGATTCTGTACTATTACAATACAATTTAGTGAAATTTTTGGATTGAAATCAAGAAAAAATAAAATGGATGAATAATGTAAAAAATATGAAACAGTGTTTATAAAGATATATATTAAGATATTGTCCTTTGATATTCATTAGCTTTAATCTTAATATGCCTAATCATATTTCTGTTTTATGTAGTAGCTAAAGAGTTGTGTAGTCCATATATGGTAAAGCTTTCAAATAATGTGAAATAATTAATTAAAAAAACTGGAGAATATTGTAGTGTTTCAGATTAATAAAAATGAATAAATGTCATTGTTGTCTAGAAGCATAATTCTCTAAACACTGAAAAAGAGTTACATGCAGATTTGCTTAGTAAGTTTTCAAATATGCATTGTATGTAGAATATGCTTTCAAAAAGTGATTCAATAACAGCATCATAATAGTACAGAATAGGCCAGTAAACTTTTTTAATATTTATGTATTGAGGCATAGACATAAAAATTTGTATGTTTTTGAATAAATTTCTGCTTTTTATTTTTCATTTTGTAAGCATGTAGAAATTATATTAGTCTATATTTAAATTTATGTTTAATTTTGCCTTTGAAGTATGCATTAGTTAAAACTACAAAATTGCTGTTTAACTGATACTTTTAATAATGACATCTGTTAGTGATATATATTGGTGTGACCACTCCTTTTACATAGCCATAAAATGCAGTCCATAATGGATATGTATTCATAACATATATCACGCTTCTTTAGATTTATTGGTACTTTTCTGTTATTGGGACTGGATTAAAATTTTATGCATTTATGTATGTTGCATGCGTGTATGTATGAATGTGTACATACACATTCACATTCATTCATACATTTCTGAATCCAGCCATGATAACAGAAAAGTATGACTTGTTACACATTAAACTTAATTAAAATTTTTTCTGCATAGCTTAAAACAAAATATTAACATTTATGCATAGAAAGGCTGTACCATCACATAATTGGTAAACCTAAGCGCTTATTTTTATTTTGCATTTTGAGTGAGCAAGTAGAATACAAAGTAATAAATTTATCAAATTGGTTTGAATATGCTTTAGGTTTGTGAAGACTTAATTTTTTGAAAAATTATCTATGTGACCAAAATTAGGCTTCATGCTTAACATCAGAGCTTTGCTATTCACATTTAATTGAAATAAATGTAAATTATATGAATGCATTAATACTGCATTCTGAGTGAAAATTTATAAAAATTCATATATTTTATTATATTTCTTTTATTAAGTTATCAGGTTTTTTTTACTAATTATACTTATTTTGTTCTTTACATAGAACAGCCTGAAAATGCTTGATTTTTTGTTTGATAATACTTAACTAATTTGCAGTCTTTAAATTAAAAATTCATCTAAGAAATACTGTTTTTAAAGCTTTCACAATGTGAAGAGTTTTTTGAGAATTTGTTTATTTTACAGTAAAAAGACTTTATATTTCTCTTTCACTGAAAATTATTAATTACTGCAAATCGGTGTTGCCAGGTTCAGAATTTAATTTAAAGGTAAAATAAAAGTTGTAACTGGAAAAAAACCAAGTGTATATGTTACCATGAAAGACCGAAATTGGAGAATGTCGACTTTCACCGGAGAATATCAACATTCACCAAATACGTCGGTGAAAGACCGAATATTTCACTACATTCTTGTATATTCGGACCCTCGCCGGTGTATGTCGACAATCACAGATATGCTCTGGTGAAATTCGAAAAGAGAGGCGAAAAGTGCCATAATAGTTGCAATAAATAAGATTTGAATCACATAATTTAGTAAGTTTTTTATTACAGTTATTTTCTCATTTAGAATAATTAAGTAAGTTTTTAACTTCTATTATTTTCCTTTCTCATTTTGAATGCATTGTGTGTTTTAGGTTCTCATGTTCTTAAATTCTTATTTCAAGTCTCAAGTGCATTTATTTGTGACTGAATGACGGAGAAGAAAATATAATATTGTTATATGTTCAGCATTCACCATTAGTACATGGTGAATGTCGACATTGACTGGTGTAAGTCAGAAATAAGAGTATTTGGAAAATATTTCAGACGTACACCAAGAGACTATGTGAATGTTGACATTCTCCAGATTTCGGTGTTTCACCGCAACATATACATAATCAATGAAGCAAACCAATTTATATTTTTCATGCTGTTATCATATTAGCTTTAATGATTACTCAAGTATTGTAAACTTATAAAGCTGGGTCATTAAGATCATTCCTACAGAAACAAATGTAATCTGCAGCAACTCCTTGCTTTAACACTTTTTATTACACCGTATGATAAAGAGAATACTTTTAACATTTGTTAAGAATTTTAGTTCTGTCTGGATTCTTATAATACCATCAAGATAGTTCAGGCATATCTGTTTTGGGTTTAGCTGAGGTTATTTATGAAATACAGTAGATGCTTAATAATGAATTAATAACACAGCTGAAGAAAAAGGTAACGTTAAAAGTACTTTTTGGTTAGTTTGCGTAATTATAAATTGTATCTTGACATACTGAAAGTTAGACACAAACAGAATCTGAAGTATGATTTTGCTATCCTTGTTATTACAAAGATTCAAATTTTGAAATTGAGTTAAATGTGTGAGGATTTTTTTTTTCATATGAAAACTTTTTGAAAGAATGTTAAATTAAAATTAATCTAGATAAAAATAAATGCTTGTGATTTTTATTTAAATAATTTTTGTGTGCTAAAAAAGCCAAATGAATATTCTGACATGGAATATGTTATAAAAAGACAACTCTGGCAACCCTGATTGCAAATGCTATATATTACTATAGTAATTTAAATAGTCTTATAATAACTGGAAAAAATTAACCATAATTTGGTATTAATTTCAAACAAAAAGGTTCTATGTAAGAGAGGAATGGCTTAGTTTCCCAATTCCTTAAGACAAGAATAGAATAATAATTTGCTCCCCTTCTTAAAGAAAGAAGAAAGGCAAATTGTATTCTTAAATGCTGGAAGAACATCAAACCTTTTTGTTTGCAATTAATAACAAAATAAGATAAATTTCTCTACTTATTGAAGCTGATGAGTCTATTTAAATTTTCTGCAGTAAAATACACATACAATGTATATAGTTCAGCTAAATTAAATATTTCTTATTTTTCTTATTCTTAGACAGTTGAATCTCATAATTTAAATTTATAGAAGGGAATTTATCTACAAATATTTGCAGTAATGCAGTTTTGCTTTTGTCCTTTCCAAATAATTTAAATTTCCTCATTCCTTCTCCAAAAGGAATAATAAATTTGAAATTTTGCTAATTTGAAATTAGTTTAATAAAAGTACTGATGAGTTTTATCAGACATGCATGTGCATTCACAGAAAATAGCTTCAGGAATGGCTTGAAAGGTTGTAATGTGATTTATATAATTTTTTTATAAATTCAAAAATATGCATATACCAAAAAAGTGTATTTTATCCCAATGATTTTTCTAGCTGCAATTGCTGATTTTATTTAAAATTATGTGCATGTATTCCCATTCACTGCCAAACTTTTTTATGCCATTTTGTATCTTTCAGTCTTTTGCTTGAAATTCTTTTCATATTTCTATAGTAAGTTTTGCTGTATAGTAGCTTACTCAGTGATGCTAAATAAGTACAGTAATTTTTCGCTACTAATTGACAAAATTTGAACATAGAAGTAACTTGAGTGAGACTCATCATGGTAAATATTAGCATATTTACCATGATGTTTATTTAGAAATAATTTATTAAAATTCACTGCTTTTGAAAAGCATTGCTTTATTATACCACCTGCTGGAGATTAAAGTGTATTTAGGTTTAGATAGAACTATAAACTTGTCTGAGACAGAATATGTATTTTTGATTCATCAATATGATAAATGCTGAAGGGTTATCATATTGATTATCATATTGGGTTATCAATATGATAAATGCTAAATTTGTTAAATCTATTTATTAACAAAGCCATATTTTATCATAGGAAATGATGAGGAGGCCTTTTTATTTAATGAAGTTAAAAAATTTTAATTGAGTTCCTGTCTTGTGAATTTTGAGTATATTAGTTATATTTTTTATTTACATTTAGATGCATATGCAGATATTAAGCTGGAAATCAGTAGTCTAACTGTTCCATGATATTGATTGCATAGTTAGAATATTGCATAAGCAAGACATTATTTAAATAATTTAAATATGATTTTTTAAATTTTGTGAATATACTTTGATCGAAATTAAGAACGAAAAATGAGAAATCACTTTTGAGATCACTCTTCATTATATTTTTAAAAGAAAATCTCAGTTTAAATGCATGAATAAGATAAAATTAAAAAAATATTTTTGCATGCTCAGATCTTTTTATCTAACAATGTAAATGCACACAAATTCTTAGTACATTAGTTTTCAGAATAACTAAAAAGTGATACATAAAATATTTTGCAAAAAATTTATGAAAATTGCATACATGATATGTTAATCGTATAGCAAAATGCATTTCAAGAGCATTTGTGCTTAATGAATTTTGGCTTATTCTAGAAAGCATAATTTTAATTGGAAATTGTACTTTTATTATTAAATCTTATTTTAACAAAATTCATGTCAAACTGTTCTTTACACAAAACATCAAAAATTGCAAATTCTGTATTATTGTGCTTTATTTTTGTAATTTCAGCTCTCAAACCTAATTCTATATTAAATTTCTTTTTTTTTCTGCGTACCTACTTAAATGATGACTAGACCGTGCCATTGTGCGTTGGAAAGGTATAAATTAAGCAAGTTCCTTATGTGGTATGAAATTCAAAAATAAAACTTAGCTGGCCTATTTTTTCTACAAGTATATATAATTTTTTAATATATTGTAGATTTTGTTTTGACTAGCTATTAAAGGCACAGCTGTGGTAATATGCAATGCAGACTACAGATAATGAATATTTTAATCTTATACAAGAACTAATGATTCTTAACATTTGATGAAATCATAAAAGATGGTTTTGGACTGTGATGGAAGAAGTCATTAGCTCATTATAATACCCACAATTAAATCTGTAAATTATTATTTAATTTACAGTTCAAAAATATTTAAAATTTGTACTTTTACATATTTTATTTGCCCTCACTTTTATTCTTGAAACTTCAAAATTATATCTAAGTATGAATGAAGCATTAACGTTGTTGTAAGATGGCATGGCTATATAAACTTATATATGCAAGCAGAATAAATTATATACATATAATGAATTAATAGAGTTAAAGCTATGTATGAATAAAAAAAACTATTTGCAAGATTGTTATCAGTTTATGCTTAAGCTATGCAATGAAGTGTTCATTTAATGTGCTAAGTTAACTTAATTGTTTTTTCAGTTTTATATTTAAGTCACTGTATTTGGAAGAAATGTCAGCATTTTGGTGTTCTAAAAAAATACTGTGTGTTGAGCTTTACTTCTACAAACAAATGTTTAGTATCTAAATCCAAGTATCATTGATGATTAAAAAACATTTCCTGGAGGTAATTTTGGGCTTCA